ACCGTGGACCTCGTTGAGGTTGGACAGCTGGCCGAACACGGTCTTGTAGCCGAGAGGGACGTAGACGAAACCGTGGTGAGCGAGGGTGCTCATGGACGCAAGAGCAGTGGACTCCTGACCACCACCCTGGGTACCGGTGGAGATGAAGAGACCGGCATACTTGCCCCAGTAGCCACCGGTAGCCCAGATTCCACCGGTCTGGTCCCAGAAAGCCTTCCACTGGGCAGGGAAGTTACCGTAACGGGTAGGGATACCGAAGAGAACAGCATCGTACTCGAGCAGAGTCTTGGGCTCGACGACGGGGTAGCTGGACTTGGGAGGAGCGTGCATCTTAGCCAGGACCTCCTCAGGAAGCGTCTCAGCGACCCTAGATAAGGTAAACTGCGTTAGCTATTACCAGATCACCTGGATGATGCTTCGTCCAGGTACAAACTCACTGGTAGATGTCGGCAGAGCCGCCAGCAGCCTCAATACCCTTCTTCTCAGCCTCGGCCAACTGCTGGATGTGGCCGTACATCGAGTACTGTATGATCAACCATCAGTGACGATGTTCCAGATTCTTGAGAAACGACCAGGACGAATTGACTATCTTCCCATTGTATGATGGAGGGAGTATAACAATGGATTGGGGGAGTACATACGAAGACGATAGCAATCTTGGGAGCCATGGTGATTGTTCGTGAGGGGGTTGATTTCTGGAAGAATGACAGAAAACGGTCTTTGGGATACTAAGACTGATGAGAAGAAAGAGGGGCCGGTCAAAGAGGGGCAGAGAAGCAGCAAATATATAGTCAAATAATTGGGACCGGCGAGACCGTGAGATAGAAAGGCCCCTCTCCCTGAGTCCCCCCTCCCCCCTCCCCCCTCCCCAATCCAGCAAGTACGTATGTACAACAAACAGTTGCTACGCAGCCACGGGGAAAAAGAGGTTCAATTGCTTTGGCAAGCATCCGTAATCGATGACAGACCCTGGGCCCGAGAGCTGGTGATTGGTGAGGGGCAGAGGGCAGTGGAACGAGCGGGGAAGCAAAGAGAGCATCGAACCAATCAGCAATGGGAAAGCCATCTTACGGGACGGTGACAAATCGCGCTTAAATTCCGCCTGCGCATTTGGAAAATCAGAAGTTCAGAACCTCCTGGAAAGGTGGGCGCGGTGGAGTCCATTGCCCGTATTGTTAATCTGTTAATCAGCCATTAGTACAAGGTAGGGCTAGTCGACTCTGGTCTAGTCCGGTTCTCATCTTACGCTCTCAGAAGTTAGAAGTTAGAAACCTTAGAGAAGTCTAGTCTACCAGAGAGAGAGCCTGTAGGCTCCAGCTGTACCATATCCCCTTTCGGGATACGGCGGGGGAGGCCCGCGGCCCGAAGTGGTCGGATGTGTTACACGAGTAGCAACAGAATTCGGTCATGGATCATTGCAATTGATGCTCCTGGATCCATTATAAACACTCTCCATTTAACTACCCATTTGTTAGAATTATGTTGATATAAACGCTTCTATCATTACTGAGTTATTAGGCAATGCATTATATACATTGAAATAAAAACAATTTTAGCCACGTAGAGAAAGACGCCATTCCGGGCGTCATGGGCTGGCATCCCTATCTGAAACTAGAATCGCTCTAGGCCACCGCTCGTCCCAACACGCAATCAGCCCGTCAGCCCATCTTATCTGCAATCTATACGAACTGCAGACCCCGACCCTAGCAATCACTGTACATAGTTACTGATAAGTCCTTGAAATTCGAAGGTGTAAGATCTCGTATTAGGCTAAACGTTTGGCCCTCTTCTCCGACTCTTATATCTGCATAAAATACATACATGACATGCCCGCTTTGCGTCGTAAAATAAATCAAATCATCATCAAATGCCACGGAGGGGGTATCTTCACAATGCAGCAACTGGAATCTCGCAGAATTTCTCCCCGAGAGAGCATCGTCTAGCCACGCCCACGCCCACGGAACCGGCCGCGCATGAAACCTCCGCCACGGCCACGTTCGCTCCGCCATTCGCGCTCCCGTTCTTTTTCCTTCTCCTGTTCCTCGCGGATCAGAGCCCGCTCCCGCTCCAGGTCCTCTTCCGTCTTCTCCACTCGCATCGTGGGCCGCGGTAGGTTCTCCGACCACCGGGGGTGCGCATCTGTGCAGTTCTTTCCTTCCGGACAGAATCCCGCTAGGTAGAACGGGCAGAGACGGCGGCGCACATGCCGCTTGGCACACAGCGGTCCCAGCTCGCAGAAACCCCGGTCATAGTGTTCGCACGGCGGCAACCGGGCTTCCTCCCGAACGTGTTGGTAGAGGCAATCGTCGCCATTCGGGCAGTAGCCGGATCGAGAGAAGGACTGGCACTCGGGCATGCGCCGCAGGTTGTATTCGTGGAGGTACTCGCATTTGATGCCTTTTTTGCAGAGCCCCTTGAGAAAGTGTTTGCAAACCAGTGATCCATGCGTTGTCGAGGGCGCCAGTCCCGAGGCTGTCGTCATTGATGTGGTCATGCGTGAGGGCGTAGGATGTCGGTCCGGGCAGGCCGGCCCCAGCGGACAGTGGCCCTCGTGGAAGGCCTTGCATTCGGGAACGTCGCTAGCTAGGCCGAATCCATAGCTACTGCGCAGGAAAGGGATGAAGGAAAAATCATCGAAGTTCGGGTCACGAGGAGTATCGGGGGACAGGATGCGCGAGGCAACATGGCCGACGTCAGTCGCCATTGTGTTGAGCTTGTCAGAGGACGCGGGAAAGAGCTGTCGATTGGATAAGAAACGAAGAGGTAGTGTAAATTGGACGAGGGGCCAGTACTCTTGGTCAATATCAAAGCTCCGAGAAATGGACCAGTCCCGCTGAGAAGTGCTCTCGTGTGTCAAACCGATTTATGACTTGTGAGCTAGGAGTTAGACAACAGGAGGAATGTGAAGTAATAAAGACAAAGACTAGAAGAGATCAGCCCGAGCGACAAAGCGGCAATATTCTTTGAGCGGTAGGCGGTGGCAACAGCTCCAGCAGATTACTCAGCTCCTGCATGATGGAACCAAGTCGAAGTCAAATCCCAAAACATTCAGATCGGACAGGTCATACATTCTTAATACGGAGTACCGTGATCAGACAGGATAACTAGTCAGAATGCGATAGCTCGTCCGCCCCAGCTGTCTGGGGAAATCTTCCCCAGAGAAGCGTCGGGCTGCCCCTGCATATGATGAGCATCAACATTGTTGGCACGGCCAGCATTACATGGTCGGCTACTTTGGGGCCTACAAGCTTCGGGACAGAATCACTGCGCTTGGAATCTGGGGTAGAATCAGGATCCGCCTGGCTGTGAGAACAACTGTTTCTCTTGTCCTTCTTCTCGTATTTCATGGGCACCTCCACCCACCCCGTGCGACCGCTGGTTGCTGACGAGCACCGGGAGATACGTCGTCTGCCACGCTAAGATAGTCCAAGTCATCCGTTGTCTCACCCTTCCAGCAGCAACTTATGCCTTCGGTATAACTCATATCTCTCTCGGATCGCGGTTCCTTCCTTCTGTGGCTGTGTCTATATCACCACTACAGTCAGCATATTCACCTTGACCAAGGATCACCCCTATAAAACCACTGCGACGGTGGTACTCGAAATGGCCAGGGTTCAAGGCCGAGTATCTCCAAGACAAATGTTAAACCAAAAATGCATTTCCCCATTACATCGATTATCCAGTCTGGTTCGGAACGACCGATCAAGAAACCTGTGAACTAACTACTCGTAGCAGTTGATTAGAGAGGGAGGGATGGCGGATGAGCAGCGGCCCATGTCGCCCAAGAAGCACTAATATTACTTGCACAACTGCAATGCTGATTCGGCGCCGGAGCTCAGTCATCGGTCGATCCTTTTTTCATGGCTGCATGGGATCAGTCGCATTTCTTGTCTTTGATCCACCTGGAATTGAGGTGTTGGCACCAAGCCAGAGAGTGAAAGAGCCCAAATGCCATCAAAACAGGCTCTGAGCGTTGGTGCACTGAAGATACCTTACGGAGCTGTTGTGCTCAAGTCAGAATGAAGCCTCGAAGGCAGCCAATGACCCGCCCGATGGCTTAAAAAGGACGTCCGACCTGGAACTGTCATAGGCGGGGAGAGAGCCAGACGTTCGGACCGTGTCTGGGGCTGATTCTGATCCGACGAGCCAACACGAAGAGATAGAGGTGTGTGTGAGTGTGTGTGAGTGACTGAGAGAATTGCGACTGAGGCCTGAAATTCTGCCTGTTCTGCCTAGACGGGCCGTGTGATTGGCTTCACTTCTGGGCATAATCATTATCATTATTCTCATCATCATGGTGGTGGTGATGGTGGAGGTGGAGGATTTGTCCGCCGCCGCATTGACTAACTTTTAGGAAGCCCTAGAAATAGCGTACCCGGGCTCCCTAAGACTATTAGTACTGTACCAGTAGTAATGGAATCGCAAAACGGGAGAAGAACTAACTTGAATGTACCTTACGGTAGGTCAAGTACTAACTTAACTGCTACTATTTACTAGGTAACTCCTGCGGTTGCCTTCTTTGGGAGAGTCTGTACTTCTGTCACTTCGCTTCGTTCGGTCTTGCTGTTTAACTCTGACCCTTTTTCCTTCCACGTCCGTCTCTGTCTTATTCTTGCCCGGTTCGAGTGAGGGATTTCAATCTTCCAGAAAAATCGAACAGATGAGTCGATAGGTTCAGATAAAAATTCCGATAACTGACACAAAGTCGTGGGTGTAGGAGGCTCAGGAGGCTCAGACATAATTAGTTTGTCCAGACGACGAGAGAACTACAAGAAGCTCAAGAAAACAATCACTTCGTCCTCTCACTGCCCATATCCCACACACGTGACGCCATTCTCAACCAGTCTATTCGTCTTCATCCTTCGCCTTCACTCTCGTCACTTTTTCGCTCTGTCTCTCTATCGGATCCAAAGAGGCTCTAGTCATCGATTGTGGGCTTGCTAAGCTCAATATCATTGTTTCCCGCATCCTCCTCGCCCTCCTAGGGCCCCCACCTCATTATGTTCTCTAATTCCGCACTATTCCCACACTGGCGTCGCAAAGCAGCCGAACGCTCCAGCAGCAGCTCTTATGAGGTGCCCTTCTATCTGAATGCGGCTTACTATCCCAACTGGCGCATTTATCAGAAACAGTCCCCTTCCTCGCTGCGATTGGGATTTGTCTCGCATATATTCTACGCATTTGCCTGGTACTAGTAGCCACTCAGCACCCATATCTGGCCCTCGGGCCCTGAACCCATACAGAGGATGTTAACCAATTTTGCTTCCTCTCATAGGGTTAAAGAAGATGGTACCGTCTATGTGAGTAATCTTCTGCTCTCTTTTTCTGGGTTGTAAATTGACTATATCCAGTTGAGCGACGAATGGGCCGACATACAGATGCCCGTGGACGGCACTACCGGCTGTCTCCGGGCTTTCGCCCAGCTCAAGCCAAAGTATCCTAAACTGAAACTCATTCTCTCTATCGGTGGCGCCGGCAAGGGAAGTGAAAATTTCTCGCGCGTGGCTCGCAGTCAATCCTGTATGGAGACTTTTGGGCGGACTGCCCGAGCACTGGTAGACGAGTACGGCCTAGATGGGGTAGATGGTAAGCTTATTTCTTTCTGCTCCGCGCTTTCTAATACCACTCAACCCTGTTTTCTACGCAACGTACTTGCAACTCCATGCTAACAACTGCTCAAAAAGTGGACTGGGAACACCCCTCGGACGCCCATCAAGGCGCCGACTATATCCGCCTCCTCGCCCAAATCCGCAAGTCTCTCCCGACCCCACGCTACCTTGTAACATCAGCCCTCCCCGCATCGCCCTGGTTCTTGCGACACATCGATCTCTCCAAAGCCCAATCCTATCTGGACCTCCTCAACATCATGGCCTATGACTTCACGGGATCCTGGACGCCGGAAACCGGTCACCACGCCCAACTCACGGCCCCCCCGGGTATTTCGCATCCCAACGCGAGCAGCAATACCCTGTCTTGTCAATCCAGCATTGCCTACATTCTCAACAACCACCCCATCGATCCCAAAAAGCTTCTGCTGGGGATTCCCGTCTACGGCCGGTCATTCCTGGGTTGTTCCGGCCCAGGCCAGCGATATGTGGGCTGCGGGGGCGAGGACGGGATCTTCGATTACTGCGACCTGCCCCGACCCGGTGCGCGAGAGGTCGTGGACGAGGAAGCCGGCGCGGCATATTGTGTCGGTGGCGTGGATGGCGGGTTCGTCACGTACGACACCCCGCGGACGGTGCAGCTGAAGGCGAAGTTCGTGACGAGGATGAAACTCGGGGGACTGTTCTACTGGCATATTGGTGGGGATAAGAGCGGCGGGAAGGGAAAGAGCTTAGTAGAGGTTGGATATGAGAGTTTGCATGATATGTGATTTTGTTGTCTCCTCGGGTGAGGCTGGGAAGAGAGACCGTGAAGGAGAGGAAGAAGAAACGGTGAAGAGATGTGGCTGCATTCGGCTTGTTGGTGCTTTTTTTTCTTTCTTTCTTTCTCTCTCTCTCGCTATCTGCATTCCTTGTATGTTTATTGGTATACCCTGCGGTATAAGCGAGATGAGAAGTTGGCTGTGATGATATTGTTCCCCGTAGACTCCAACCACACAATATAGCTATCTAAGATTATTGACCTAAGTTTATTGACCATTCCAATAAGACACACGCACTCAAGACATTTAAAGCGGCATTACACACATGCAAATACACACACACACCACCATTAGTTCAGTTTCTACAGAAAGCATTAACCCTAACTCAACCAATAACTCCATTCCCCCTAAACCCAACAATATATACCTAACAACGACCGAGTAATTTCTATTTCTAAGCTCATCCCATTCTAATCCATCTAATCTCTTCTCCATCAGAGTGTTGAACTTCATCTCCCCAACAAAAAGCCCCCACATAACAACAGACAATATTACAAGGAATCGATGCATTAACGCATCAATGTACTGTACTAACTTTCCACCCATCCCCGCCCCTCCCCCAAAAAAGAGTAAAATACCCATCCGCGAACTCACCGGATCGGGTACCAACCCCACACAATGGCAGATATGGTATGATGCTGATGATGATAGATGCACTGGGCAAATCAAGTAGCGTGTCATGTTACGAGTAGGTAAGGTAGTCTGAAAACCTAATTCCCGGCCCCATGGTACGGTATCCACTACAATGAATGGCCACTGTCAACCCAATAAGCATGAGCTTTGCCTAGTGGATAGCGTTGGACCCCGGATATCGTTCCCTAGGTGTGTGGGGGGGAGGGGGCGGGGGGAGCTACAGTGACAGGGAAGGGCGGAGGCGGGGGAGGAGAAGGGGGGAGGAGAAAGATTGTTCTAGGCGTGGATCTCCACATCATTAATCATAGACTACTAGCTGACAGCAGGCTACGGCGAAGGCGAAGGCGAAGGCGGACACACCAGAGAGTTGAGTTCACCAGAGATCCGGGTCGATGATGGTCGAGGAGATCCACAGGGACAGGATTAAGGTTTGCAGTTGCTTTTTCACCGTTGTCGAAGCTGTGCCCCGGTGGAGGTGGTCATGGGCCAGCCGGTTCAAGTAGCAAGACACGCACGCGGTCATCTGGCGCGCAAGCAACGGGGACCACATCTAGAAGCATGATGTTTTTTTTTAGGTGTTCAGATGACAGATGACAGATGACAGGTCTTTCAATTCATCCTCATAGCAGTAAACCTTATTATATAACCATTTAGCATAGATACCATTTCACTCATCAATCCTCGTCATGACACAACATATCACAAAAGAAAAGCATTAATGTAACATATACAGGATAACCATTTTCGAGCAAGATAGACGGCCCCCACCTCAACTTTTCATCTCCTATCCTAGACTTTCCCAAGAAAGCGATGACCCCAAGCTAAAGAATACCTCCCAATGCCTTCGTCACGTTCAGCTCTACGCTGAGTGTGTTAGCAGCTAGAGCGTCGGCGAAATACGTTAGTTCCTCGCCGTTGTAGACGCTCGAATTGCCGATGATGTCAACGGGAAGCATCAAAGTGGGATAACTACCAAGCATGCCTGCCACGGTGAGGGTGCTAACGTTGGCAGTCATGGGAAGGGTATTGTTGCCGGGGCGGATGGTGAGGTCGGTCAGGTAGGATTGGCCAATAGCAGTGCCATTGACGGATAGGTCAAGTGTGACATTGCCCTAGCGAAAGCATTAGCTACTGTAGACAGCGCGAACTAAATGATAAACTGAGACAGGGTTCTAACCAAAGTGAGTGTGAAGGGCGAAGGGTTGGGGATGTAGACGGTCCCCTTGCCATTATTTCCACTCTTCGTAGAAGTCGAGATGGTAAGATCAACTAGCTCGAACCCCTTGAGCTTGTTGAGACCTGCTGACTGTGAGCCAATGCGTTGAGTTTGATGGGTGGATGCCGTACCCTTGATGGTTGTTGTCTTATTGTATGTGATCTTCGTCTTGGGCAGGCTACCCTCTTTCAGATCAGCCTTGCCGTACACACTCATCTGGATCTCCTCATTTAGCATGACCGCCTTGCTGAACTCGGTAAATGCCGCCACGTCGGTGATGTTAACGTCTTGGTCGACATCGACCTGGACGCCATCATGTGCTTTGAATTTGGGAATCTGAACTGTGATGAAGGGAGCTCCGCCCAGAAGACTGATGGCGGCACCGAAGGAGTAGATGTTGGGCTTGAAGGCGCTGCTAGACCCGATAACCTGTGTCTCTTGCAAATGGAAGGAATTGGGCGTCGGATCACTGATTGCCATGCTGGTGATATTCAAGGTTGACTTGTTGATATCATGCTGGGCGATATTGGGGTAACCAACGTAAACTCTGGTTCGATCATGTCAGGCTTGAACGCAATAGTTGTCAGTGAAGAAAGGATAGCAACATACACCGGCAGTACCACCACCAGCACCACCACAATCAAGATGATGAGGTGCACCCACCACCACCGCTTGAAATGAGCCGCAACGCGGCTCCCGAAACTGGGCTTTGTCGCAGCAGCGGCCGGCACAGTGCCGGTCTCAACGACATGGGGCTTGCTGTCACTTGCCATGCTGAGATGGGGTTGTCTGTGTCTTGCTGGTTCGCTGGGGATGGATGATGTCTGTGTGACATATGCGGGGTCTTTCACCTCCCAAGCAGAAAGAAGAGCCCGACCCGAGAGAAGTGAGCTGGGACAGAAAATGTTCCTTTCAGAAGTTGCACAGCGCCAGTGTCGAGCAGTCTTAAGCAAGGGTCAATACGACTGCAACGAGATCAGTCTTAGCCGCGATGGCACAAGAGCAACTTTTATTCGGGGATGGATCTGGAATGATGCGGTACATACATAGCCTCAACTTCCAGTCAAGTGACACGCAGGGGCAGCAGGAGATTAAAGTTGACCGAGAAACCACGGTACCCACGAGGGCAATTCGAAAAGTCTCTGGCAAGGGATGACAATGACCAGAAACGGATTTGAGACCGACTAAAACAAACAGCGGTTCTCCCCCCTAAGTACCCCCGACGATAGATCTGGGTCTCGGAGGAAGCAGTGCGATCTTCACATGTTATAGACAACAGCAATATGTCCGACAAGAATGGAACGCCGCGGACCCTCTTCAAGCGGAGCGATGCTCAGGCAGACTATGCAGCTGGCGGCGCCGCTACCAATTAGCTGGATGTAACAGTGCAAGAAGCGAGCCAGCAGAGACTATCCCTGCTCCGAACTTAGCATCCCGCGGGTCGATCGAGGAAGGTTCAGATGGAGGGTCGTTCGCCACGCGCTCCCAGCAAAACAGCTCATGATGAACTGATGAACATCCATGATATCTGCAGTGTGCCTCTTGACCTGCAGCTTCCGGCTGTAGGTAGACTCTGAACCGAGGCTGAGATATCAATCCAGTCGGAGGAAGGAAGCGATTGGGAAGGAGGAGAAGGAAGAGGGGAAAGACGACAAACAAGCTAAATGACCAGTCGGGGTAAGGCTAAAAAGTGAGCCAAGGTTTGTGAGCACGGGGACTGGAAATCTGGAAGACCCAATTTCCCCCGGACGATCAGGGCTTACTGGGGGTGGTGGGGGGGAGGGCCTTCTGGGGGGCCAGCTGGTGTGGGACAGAACCGCCGGAGCGATGCAACTAAACTGCTAGAGGAATTTCCAGTGAATCCCATTTAATCAATAAAAGCGACAATCCCTGGACAATCCCTGGACAATCCCTTAAGTAGTGTGGCTACTGTGACTGCTTTCGGCCACTGCTCCGATGGCTCTGACGATCTGCAACCAATAATGGGCAGGAGTTGGAAGTTCAGGGATGTTCGTAGACATGTCTTGGAAACCCCGGAAAGTCACGGAGATTGCCAATCAGACAAGCGAGCGACAGATTGATGAGAGTGGAGAAGTGAAGGATGGTAATTGATGATTGATGATGGTAAGGGAGGGAACGGAGGGAAGAGGAAGAGGAGGAGGGAAGAAAGGAATGTAAGCGGGCACGCGGACAGCCCCGCCCGAGTAAGTTCCCGCCTTCCATATAGAGTCTCTTTTAGAACTGTCTGTTAGTTACTAGTTAGTTTGTTAGTTAGTTTGTTAGTTGTAGTCACGGTCCAGTCCAGCCCTTCCCATTTCCACTCTTTTTCCCTTTTCCGAATCTTCCCTCCCTCCCTCCCGATTTGCTTCTCTCCCATGACTGAAAGTAAAAGTGACAATAATAAGTTAATCTTCTCAATCCTGAAACTCTCTCAAACCAATTTCCTATTAAGTTGTGTGACATACTTAAATCCAAAGCTGCTTTTCTCGCCGTAGCATCGCATTCTACATCACTTCGATTCTCAGTCAAAGTCCAAAACTGAAGTCTCGACGGTGGTTTCATATTCCCTGCAGTCCCAAATTAACCATGGCTGCAATCATACCCAGCCAAGCCCAGGCACTAGACAATGGAACCTTGAAGATTTAAATTAAATACGCGGCCAAGCAGGGACCATGCGCACCCATGGCAGAGGAACTGCTGCTGCTGTCCAATTGCAATAAATAAGATAAATCGTTTCACCAGCTTGGACGTTGGCCGATAACGCTCACTCGGCTACTTAGAGGATAAGATATATTCTGGGTAAAAAAAAGGTACTTGAGAAGATAGACAGGATGGAACGAGAGTGTGGGACCCAGAGGGTTGCAAGGTCGGAGTCAGTTAAACAAAGGAGAGTCACGAATCGAAATATCACACAGTGATTAAGGGCTAATGATGGGTATCCAAGAAACGAATATCGATGCCCGCAAATTGGTTCCCAGAGAACTGATGCATGATCGTTCTCCGGGCCAGCATTCGGAGCAGTTGGCAAGGCCTGCTCAAAGATAGGGATGAAATGGTGAGACGAAGAGAGACTCTGACCCACAGCAAAGGCCTGGGAGACGCAGAAGACCAAGTCGAAATTTTCGATTTGCCAAGCAAGTTGCAAGTGAAAATCGACGGGGGAAGCATGATTGAGCCACAAGGGAGCATAAAATGAGAAAAAATGAATGGGAACAGTAGGAATGGGTGAAATGTACCTCACGGGGTCGATGTCGCAACAAGGCAAGTAGATACTTGAAAATAAAAAAAGGGGGGGGGAGATAGAATATGTAACGAAGAAGATAAGGTGACAAACGTGAATGTCACAAACCAAACATGTGCAATGATACTACCGACACCTTGAGGTAGGACACGGCTTTTTTTCAGTTGCTAGTGAACGCTTTGATCTCGAAAGAAGGCAGCACAGATTTCAGGCCTCAGTAGCAACTGATTTCTTCCGGTGGAAGAGACTGCGAGTGCGGGACTTGCTGCGATTTTTCTTGTCGGGTGTTGTACCAGATCGTTGACTGCGGCCACGACCGCGCGAATTGATGCTCGGGTTGTCGTCCGACATATACTTGTCCTTGTAAATCCTGGAAACACGAATAGTCAGCCAAAAACGTCCATTTCTCACAATGCATTTTAATGACGTACCAGCTATTCCCAACCATGTTGATTCCCTTTGCCTCCGCTTGGCGATAGAATTTCGCAGCCCTCTTCAGGTCCTTCTTACAGCCAATGCCTTCTGCGTAACAGAACCCGGCCTCCGCGAGCGCATCACCGTCGCCCCATTGACCCGCAATCTCGAAACAGCGTAAGGCCAAAGACTTGTCCTGTTCGATACCCCACCCGTTCAGATGACTCACGCCAAGTTCGTAGATACTGAGGGCGAATTGGGCTCGGTAAGCCTTCTGAAGTTCTCTCATGCGAACAGGTATCGACGGATTGGAGTCATCCATAAGCTCTAATCCGACGGAGTCGACAGCCTTGCGCAACCACCGTACACCTTCTTGCTGATTCGGCCGCATTCCCCAGCCATGGCGGCAGGCTAACGCATAGAGCAACATCCCCGTAGGATGATTCTGCTTGGCCGCTATGCGAAGGTGGTACGTAGATTCATTGAGGGATCCTTTCTCGTGGCATTCGATACCCTTGGTTACGTGCTCATCCACTGTGATGGGCGCTGATGTAGTCTGCGTCCTGGCTGTCTGCGGGCGAATAGTGGACTCAGAGCCAGCAGAAGAAGTAGTATCGTTGGCATTGTCATTCCTGGCTGTTTCGGATTCCAACTGCGCGGGTGGTGCAGGTTCGCTCACTGGTGGCTCCGATGGTATGATTTCTGCCGTAGCAGACTCGGTGGATGTCCGCCTTGGAGGTTTTGTACGATCGCTGGGCGCAAGAGAAGTTGCCTGCGGTAGCGGCGGCTCAGGGGTCAAAAGCCTCCGAGACGAGCTGGGTGATTCCTGCATAGAGCACGACTTGGAAACCACTGACTCTTTGCCTGATGGCGATGGGGACGGAGTACGACGAGATCGAGAGGACTCAGCAGGGGCCTGGCGATCGGGACTCTCGAACAGCGGTTCTTGCCATTCAAAGTGCGGAGTCTGCAGGCCTGAGAAGACAACCGAATCACGGCAGACGGCGCGTCCTCGAGGTAAAGCATACTTTGTATGAATGTAAGACGACACAGCTGATGAGGGATCCTCATGCGGATGTAACGCCAAATCGGATGGAGACGGCACCCTGATGGGGCTGGGCTTGTGTCCGCGGTTAATGGTGCTCTGTATGCCATCCGATGAGCACACCGGTCCGGGAGCCGAAAGACTCGTGCCAGACCGACTCAACGGCCGAGAGAAATTATACGACGGGCGAGACAGACCCCCGTAGTTTGAGGTTTCCGAGCTTATGGATGGAGATCGAGGATGAGACCGAATTTGAACATTGGACATGGGCGAGTAAGGCATAGACATCGCACTGCTGGAGGACATTTTTCGTGGCTTCGAGAACGTCGAGCCGGCAGTCGAGCTGCTATAATCATCATCCGAGCTCTCAAATTGGCCACCTCGGGAACCACTCGATGGCCGCGAGAGAGGAGAGGCTGACAGGGCCAATCCACGCGACGGAATGTTTAAATGAGAAGCTGAGTCGGTAGACGAGGTTCGGGATGGGGGCATCACAACCACCCCTGCCGGAGGCGTGCGGCTCTCCGAAGGAGCACAGGAGGGGGCAACGGAATAGAAGCGACGGGGTCCTTCGGGGGCACTGTATGCACTGATATTGTCCGGAGAATTGGAGCGGGGCAAGTCAAACACATCAGCAGTCGATTCCTTCCTCGAGGTGGCATCGTCATCTTCTGTTTCCTCCGGCATCTCGTGTTGTTCTTCCTGCGCCTCCGTTTCATCTGGTACTTCACTTGACAGGTGTGAGATGGCGCTGAGCCGCGGATGTTCGGACTGTGGGCGAAACTTAGGCTCCTCCACCTCGGGGTTCATCTTCTGCGTTGGCTGTCTCGACAATTCATTGCGCCTTCCCCCGCGAGCATCGCTAGTAGAAGCCGAGCGAAAATAGCCCGGTCGTGGCTGCGAAAGGGAGCGTGCCACGCTGGAGGGAGGCCATCGGCTCATGCGACGGTTCCTACGAGCGGATTCCTCCAACTGGCGGGCTAGAAGGCGGCCTTGGGCGGCAAAGGCATCGAGCGGGGAGAGCGCGGGAGGAATTTCACCATCGTAATGCTCAATGCGCGGGGAGGGCGCCCCGCTGCGGAGGGTATCATGGGAGGGGGAGCGAACTTCACCAAATCTGGGCCGGGCGGCCATGGTCGTAGCCGATGTCCGTCCAGTTGCTGCGATCACAGAACCCAATTCATCCAAATGTCACCACAAGAGCTCGATTTCCAACTCGTGAGGCAATCAGGTCCATTAATTGAGGATCAATGGTTTGGGTATTTGGCAAACAATCGACCGACTCGCACAAGCGAAGTGAGAGCACAATCAAGCGTTGACCTCAGGGCGTGCGACAGGCGATCTTGGAATACGGTCGGTGTAGATGCGAGTTGGAAGTGCGCCGAGCGAAATTGCAGAGGACAACGGTGGACGGACGACAAAAGGAATGACAGCCCCGTGGGGTGGAACGAGGATTGCGGCAAGTGAGGGGAACTGGGCGCAAGTAGGCAATTTGAAGCGAATGAGCCTGGATTCAGGAGCCGAAGAACAGGACGAAGAACAGGAGACGGAGTAGATGAGGGGCGCGGTTGATTATCTGGCGGCGACGGCGGTGGCGGCGACTGTGGTGAGAAACAACTGTTGGGTGTTGGAGACCTGTACCGTACTGGGCGAGAGAAGTGGGTGAGTAGTAACAAGGCCGTGATATGTACAGTACTGACAAGACGAAGCGATGCTAATGAAGCATCATGGGTGAGGGGAGGGGAGGGGAGGGGAATTAGATCGAGGAACAAACACAACACAGGATGTAAGTATGCAGAAAGAAGAAAAATAGAAAGATTGAGGAGAAAATAAGACAAAGAGAGAGAGGAAGAGAGAAAGAGACCAAGAAACTAACGACTGGGGGGAGAGCCGGTTACTTGTTACGCCCTGACGATCGCCAAACCAGAACCGGTGTTCTGGGCAGTCTCCACGCTTTTCTGCTGCTAACTGCGCTGCTGCTGCTGCTGCTGCTGCCGCCGCCCGTAACGTCATTACAACCTGCAGTGCTGCAGTTCTGCAGTCTGCAGGGGCCGGCCCCGTTTCAGGGGGAAATCAATTACTGTACAGACACTCATTCGCTGTAAAGTATTGCATGCTGAGCACTAAAGAAAAAGATGATGATGACAGCTTCTCCCCCTCCACACCCCCCCCCTTCTCCTTCTCCTCCTCAGTTCTCACCCTTACGTTATGGGCTGGGCTGCTCACTGCTTGGCATTTGCATGGATCCAGCGAGCCAAAGAGGAATTTCCCAGATAGGCGATATTTGTGGATTTTCTGATACTTATGTGACTTATAAACCAGCTGTCTTTCTACCCTGGAGGGGCACACGGCAGACAAAATTACAACTATTCAAATCGATCAAGAGATCGCATTGTCTCTATATCTCCTGGTGTATCCACGTCTCAAAGCGACTGTCGCCATTCAGACGTATTGATTGATGTGCCGCTTTCTTCCAGGTTCCCCTCTAGCTCTTCATATCCTCCACCCGAATCAGTCAGGGGCCGCATCGATGGCTGTGGCATTATTGTTCGGTTTATTGAGGGCGCTCGGGGAAAATCCCAGCTTCCAGAAGCAATGGGTCGAACTTTCGCCCATCACGATTCACGAAACATCGGCCAGTGTCGCGCGGTCTTGTCACTACCTAGTCACTACGCACCGCTACTGGGTGATAGTCGGGTTCACCCTTGGGGAGGCGACTGCTCAGTGGAGTCCGAACCAGACTTTGAGTTACTCCATTGTACTATTTATAAGTCGATGTCCTCTCAATTCTATTTCCCCCCCTCTCCTCCTGCCGTTTCTTCGTATTCCCCCGGTCGCAATGGCAGCTCGAGTTTATTTGACTTTAGATAGATGCGAGATGCGGAGAAGAGCTGCCATGGAGTGGCTGTTGGCGGTGCTTCATGTTTCTCTAGGACTGCGTTTCTGCTGCATGGTTCCTTGGACTAAATCACCACCACCACTACTCCGTACTCACTATTGACTTACTGAGTACTACTAATCGCTGGGCGCTGCAGGTCGGATGCCCAGTAAGGGACGCGCCGTGGGATTTCTCTTCCGACCAGTTAGGCACCCCCGTTGAATAGTTTACAACTTAACTCTTCGCAGTGGCCCCTTTCAAGCAATAGATTCATAAAGTCAGCCATTGCTGGCAGGTGCACTGTCTAGTGTATGTATCTTTAGAATCTTTAGACTTAAATACTGGACGGGCAGCCTGAAGTTTGTTCTTCTCTTCTTCCCCCCCTCCCCCTTTGTTTCAGAAGTTCACCCAACCGGACTTACAACTCTCACAACTCGGACTGTCAAGCATAAAAATTTTCCTTATGGAGATCATGGTTCGCTGTGCGGGATGAGTCAATAAAGCCTTCCAAGTGGCTCCAAGGCTTCAAGATCTCATTGCCTGATTAATCTATCGATACTGCAGTGTCTCCGGTCTAGATTGCTTTTTCCTGGTTTGGGGGGGGTCCGAAACCAGGCACAGTTGAACCGTGATTGGTTGTCCTTCGGCCGGAATTCAAGACGCCGGGGGAAATCCAGATTGAGACAGCCCAGCATCCGCCAGTCACGGGTTCCATGAGTCCCGTCACATATGATGATGATGGGATGGATGAGAGTTGGAATTTCACAGTGCTCACTATGACATTGCTTCTCTTGTTGCCATCAAGACCAACATCGATCGATTAACTTACAAGGTAGCTAATTCCTATGCATTATGCACCATGCACCAACAGGAGAATCCAACAGGGGAAAGGAGGTCACGGTAAGAGCTGCAGACATGAGACACAACAAGAACCCCTCAAACCCCGTTGTTCGTCTGTCCGTCTGAACGACAGCCGTTGGAATGCTGGAGGGCCGCCCGCCCGGAGGCACCACTAAGCAAATTCAATTGTCTGTCTCTGAGTCTCTGCCCTAAGCACCCACCATTGGAAAGTCTGCGCTAGGGTACTGTCTAGTTCCTAAGTACCAGTCCGCACCCGGTCAGTCACCGGAGTACCGTGATGAGTCGGGGCAGAAAGAGAAAATATATGAAGAGAGAGCGAGAGGAGGGGAAAAAATAAAAAAAAAAAAAAAGGAACGAAAAGGTAGCAGAGACCACGATAAGTAATAAGGTATGTAACACCGATCAGCTGGCCTTAGTTTAGTGGGAGGAGCAAACGCGGTTCTTCATCTCCAGCGGAGACAAAGACTCGCTCTCCCGTCCAATCAGCGCCGAACTCGGCCGTACTCCGCAGAAGCTTAGGCTTTAGCAGCACGAGGTTAATAAAGACATTCGAACAACTAAACTAAGGAAAGGAAAGGAAAGGACTCCGACTCTCCACGCAATGGGAGCTCCTAATAAAATCTCTGCTATTCGGGCTATAGGCAGATAGTCAGTCGAGTCTTGCTGAAGTATCGTTCTTTTCCTGGCGCAAACACCTAACCTCAGGGCTCCCTACCTGCCTACCTACCTATACGTTTCTTTTCTTCACGACGCACTGTGGGGGAGGAAGAGGATCTACCGATCAGCTTCAACAAAGCCCTAATCCCAACAGACAGGCCAGCTGTACGCACGATCAGGAGAGTCATCATGTCCATCATAAACCGACTCCGGAACCGGTCGATCTACGACCTCCTGGGCGTCGACCCCGCGCTCGACCACAAGCACGTCTACGAGACATCGTGGCTGCTTCCCCCGCTGGCGCTGGCCTGCCTGCGCGGCCTGATCGCCCTCTACATCTTCACCACCATCTTCACCATCTGGGGCTGGTACGGCACGCACGGCGAGCGCTACGCGATCGGCGAGAGCTTCAGCTACTTCACCTGGCTGACCTACTGGGGCATCGGCTTCTACATGCTCACCGCCGCCGTTCACACCACCTGCTACGCCTTGACGGGTCGCTCGGTGCTCTTCGACCGCGGGCCGCGCGCCCTGCGAGCCCTCCACGGGCTCTTCTACACCACCGTCACCACCTACCCTTTCCTCGTCACCGTCGTCTTCTGGGGGATCCTCTACTCCCCACCGTGGTATACCACCGTCGAGCCTGCTTGGCAGAACGTAAGTTGATCCCCAAGACCTTGTGTAACAGAGTTTCGTTCTTCTTTGTTCCCAACCTGAACCCGAGAAAACGAACACGAGTGCATTGTTCTCGTCAGAAACTGACCCAATGATGTCGTAAAGATCTCCCAACACGGCCTCAACTCCCTCTATGCCCTGCTGGAGATTCTCCTCGCCACCACTAACCCCCACCCCTTCCTCAGCTTGGCCGTCCTCATCTTCATCCTCCTGCTCTACGTCTCGTTGGCCTACCTCACCTATCATACCGAGGGCTTCTACACCTACAGTTTCCTCGACCCCGGCGCCCATGGCCAGCACAGCGGCAAGGTCACCGGCTACTGCTTTGCCATTCTCGCGGCAATCCTGGTGTTCTTTTTCCTGTCGTGGGGCGCCATCTGGTTGCGGCGCCGGTTGACACATGGGAAGCTGAAGCGGTCGGTGCGCGATTCGGGGAAGGTGGTGGTAGAGGATGAGCAGCCGGAGGTGGTCGAGGTTTCTACTTTGCAGGTTTGAAACAGATCACAGCTGGGGTGGGATAGCTTTGGGCAGGGGGCAAATGTAGGGGGAATCATATTGTAATGTTTAAAAGAAAGGGGAGCGATTGGTTTTCTATGATCAGAGAACTATGGTTTCTGTGGTTTCGGGTAACATTCATAGCTTCATTATAATGCATACTTGCGGGATATGATCTGATATGATGAGATGAGATGAGAATGGTATTAGATCCAAGAAAAAGCTCACAGCGATAGCCAAGGTGAGGCTGGGTATTGGGGGAAAAGGTATACCCTAATTTATAAATTTAGCGAAATTCACGGGATGTCGGCAGTTTATCAAAGCCGCTCCCAGCTGCTCGTCTCACTGCTACTCCCCGCGCTGGTCGAACTTTCCCGTGGCGACGATGAGGAAGTCGTCTGCTGCGGTTGAAAGTGGTGATGGAGCTGCTGCTGCTGTTGCTGCTGCTGCGACGACGACGACGACCGCAATCCCAACATCCAACCCACCAATCCTGCGGGTACCCAGTCCCCGATTATGCTGTACGTCCTTGCGCCCCGTCCGACATACATGACGGCCTTCTTGCTGCCGCGCCGGCCGAACACATTCTTGGCCGGCGCCTCCAACGCATCCTGCACAGCGTAATGCAGGGTGCGTGCAGAAGATCCTCGGATGAGACTCGGGCCTGCCGACGCGGCGGGCCGCGCCTCAATGCTATTCAAGTACTGCGATGCATACAGCGAGCGCTGCTGGACGCTCCAGCCCAGCACCTCCGTGCCGGCGATGTGGCCCTGCAGGGTCCGGTACGATGGTCCGAGGTCGATGTTGCCGAGCTTCAGCTCGACAACGTGGAGGTTCGAATTGGATGTCAACTCGCGGCGGAGGGAGGTGGCGAACCCGGACAGCGCGCGGATGGTCGCGACTTCCGGCCCGCTGAAGGGCGCGGAGAGAGACGAGGAGATTGTGGGGTAGGCGACAATGATGGTGCTGTGATTGTTGCGGACATGGAGGAGGGGGAGGAATAGTTGTGTGGTGAGGATAGGGGAGAGAAGGCGCGTGTTAATTGTGTCGATCCAGGTTGACGGCGGGATTGTCGCGACGGGGCCGCTGGTGTAGTTGGGCGAGGGGACTAGGATGAGCCCGCTCAGCTGGCAGGTGTGAGGCTGGAGGCCGGCGATGGGAGATTGTGGTTGGGTGATGAGAGTGTGAATTTCGCTGAGGGAGGGGTGGATTCCAGACGGGTTGGGGGATGTCTGTGGCCGTGATGGTTGCGTTAGTCAAGGGTGTTTGGAGACGGAAGTGGAAGTAGTGTTTCGCTCTTACGGTGGAGAGGTCAAGCCAGAGGGACCGGATGTCTTCACGACTTTCACTTCGGATGATCTGTTCTTCGTCGCTGGACGAGACTGTAACATAGACGATGTATCCCCGACGCTCAAGATCAGATGCGATCGCTCGAGTCATCGGTTCGTGCGCCGATCCCGCGATAACTATTGCGACAAGTTAGATGTTTGCGCAGCTTGTCATTCAGGTTCTGGTCCCATGCATACCCACGATCTCCTTGCGGGCGCCATTCCCGGCCCTCCTTGCTCGCCGCCGTTTCCCATTAAACTTTTTGTTACCATAATATAGGACGCAGGTGGTTCCAACGAAAGCGAGGATCGCCGCGCTCCATGCTCGGTTATGCAAAACCCAACCATGCACGCGATCAACCAAAGACTGTGATATGACCGGGTTTGGTCGGTACTTGGGTGAAGGGCGGACCGTAGGAGGCAGCCATGTCTGATTGGAGAGGGTATCACGAATTGCGTTTGCGGCGTGGTCGACTTGACGATCGATAGAATCGGCGACCTGATGAGAATATCGCCTTACGTCATGCGGTATCGATGCCAGCTGCGACAAGCAAGAAGAAAATCGTGTCAGTGAGCGGTAAATGTGCAGGCTAGAAGAGTAGAACTTACATAGTCGAAAAAGAACTGGTCGTCACTGGTCATGGTGATGATGGTTTGCTGCACTCAAACGGGGCAGCCGTTGGATGGAGATGGGGGTGGGTAGTGGATAAAGAGATCGAGGAATAAACTGGATCCTCCAACTTATCGGCGGGCCGGTCACATGAGCGTCTTCGCCCTATGGATGGACCATCCCCGATCATTCCTGTATATGTATTCATCAAATATTGGCGTGTTAATGTGTCACTACCTTCGATACTTTGATTTCATCTTGAACTAATCATGTTTAGTCTGGATGACACACTCATGCTGCAAGTATAGCCTTATCAAAAGCCAGAAGTATATGTGTATATTTGGTACTATGTTCCAACCACAAACATGACGATTGTGCACGCCACTTCAGACGGAACTCAACGTACACAATTCTGCTGTGTTTCCTAATGTCAAAAGATACAAGATAGACGTGGACCTATGGAGTATAGCTACCCCAGCAAGCGCTTCGGCGCCTTCTCGAACAACCGAATGGTATCCTCCAGCCGCTTCTCATACTCCGCCATCTCCTGGCTGTCCTGATCGTCGCCTGAGTCATTCTCCTGCTCATCTCCATCATCTTCTTCATCTTCTTGACCCAGGAGTTGCAACTCAACTCCATCTCTTCCTCCACCACGAACTGTGTTCACCGACATGATGTCTCGATATAGCCCCATCGACATTGGCAGCGTAACCCCGTCCACACCATTGCTACCCAATTTGATAAACTTGGCATCCAGCAACCGGAACTGAGCTGCCCAGACGTGCTCATCTTCAACCTCCATGGCAACCTCCCAAGATGTACCCTGGCCCAGCTTCACCGAGCCGCCCACAGGCACACTCGACAGTGCCCCAATGACCGCAGATGAGATGCCTACCGAGACTTGATTTGACTGGCTCCGTGACACAATCGTGCGGGTACCTTCCAGAAGATATAGACCGGTTAGAAACCAGATCTTCGGGCGGCGCGCGAATTTGAAGTTGAGAAGATAGGAGCTGCGGGCTGCGGAGAGCCAAAGTTTGAGTTTCTGCTGTGCTTGTGGAGTATTGAGAACCGAAGTCATAAGGAAGGATTCCGGACTATGACCCATATGTGAGTCTGAGCAATCCATGAATCAGATATCTGTATGGGCAGCAGATTGACATACTCTTTCAGAATAATCCGCTTCCCCTTCCTTGCGGTGACTATACGCTCGAGCTCCTTGTTATATGCTAGACGGAGATCAATTATATCGCCACCGCTGAGACCAAAACCAGGAGAAGTGCGAGAGGAACCACGAAAGACCACATTGGCGAAGTCACTTGCATAAGTATGTTCTTGCAAAGCCTCCTCACTGCGCAAATAGTTAGCTAACACTGTAAGGTGCTTAGGTTGACGTTGACTGCCTTACTTGAGCAGATCATGAGTATAGTGACGCGCTGCCAGTGGCTGCCAATACTTTTCCAGCACCAAGGAGCCAAGGGTCAAAGCCTCTGGTTTCTCGCCCACTCCATAGAGATAGAAGGAAGAGTCGTCACTCGCTGCCATGATTTGTAAAATGGAGAAGCTTGACTCTGGAAGATAATGTCCAGTGCAGTACGGAGTGGCGTAAGATTTTCTCAATCAGAGTCAATTGACAACAAGGTATTTATGGGTCCAGTGGATATCTTAACATGTTCCTGACATGTCTTGACATGTCTTGACATGGCGGCCCGCGCGGGGCTCGATCAGTGCGGCTGAAATCCATCCCCATTCCTGCCAGATCGAGTAATTCCTGGCGAAGGCAGCCTAAGCCAACAATCTTAGCGAGTTCATCATCATTTCCAGACTCCCTCATCCCAGAGGGTTTCTAACTTCTCTTCTTGACATGTTTGACTGCTGAAAGCCTGCACGAAAACCACACTAGCAAACGCAACGGTCATGGACTTTGAACTCTTTCTCGACCTTTGCGGTCGATCACTTTTCGCCGAGGAATATCGCGGGGATTTGGATGCTGCTTGGGAGGCATTGCAGCAAGCCAAGCCAAGTGACCCCACTCCTGAGCCAGAGCCTTACGCAGAGTACCTGCGATGCTTGTCCATTTACTCCATTCTGACAGGCAGGTTACGAGACGCCCAGGAAAGCTTGAACATTCTGTACAATCTTCTCGGCCAGCTACCTCCAGAATGGGGTCTGCGCTATACCAACTACACTCTACTATGCGATCACTATCGGCGCTATCCACCTTCGCTTCGTTTCTTCCACGAGAGAGGAAGACCTATTAATCTTAACACCCTCAGCGACATTATTGGACCAAATGCTATGATGGCCAAGTTTACAGAGAATTTCCAGCGACACTTCCCTTCGGGCAGTCCTCGTGATCAGTTTCTCTGTCAAATACTAGGCGCGGTGCAATGGTTGCCGATGCAAACAAGGAACTTGGTGTCTACATATCATCCATTATTCCCAGGTCTTCCGTCGAAGCGCTCTGATACTTTGGACTGGGAAACAGTCATTCCGGAGAGCGCCAAGTTCTTGATCAACTACCGGGGCCTGGCAGAATCTGGGGGTGCAACTACCATCGCCGAATATTTGTCGCGGGCAATAGTCGATTTACACATAGCCTGTCAACATCCAAACCAGGCAGCCGCTTTGATGGACCTATTTCGAGTGTACGAAGGCCGAGGAGACCAGGTGGGAATGGCCAACTGCAAGCTTATGGAAGGCGATGCTTTTTTGAGCCCTCCATTTGCAAGCCCAATCTCTCTCAATATGGTACTCGTAGAATCTTCATCAGCAGTCGGGGGGGATACCCTATGGGATCCCATTGATTTCGATCTCAAATTCGACTACACATCACAGGCGAGGGATTGTTACGCATCGGCGCTGAGTCTCTTTCAAAAGGGGAAGTGCAAGAGAGGTCAGGCCGCAACATTGCTTCGGCAGGCCTGCTGCTTACACAACGAACAACGTCATCTCCGCGGCGCGAATAAACAGAACGTTGGCTTACTTGATGAGGCCGAGGAAAAGTTGCACCAAGCACATGCTCTCTTTGCCAGAGACGAGGCCAATACTCGATTAGCTGATGCTCACCGAATTCTTCTCAGTATAACGAGAGGAGAGGTAAGCAAGACTAAAGCCATGGCGCAAGACATTGGAAAGTGGGGAGTCGAAGCCGGAAACGAACTGATGGCACATGGCCTCGGGCTTCTCATGATGCGCTTCGCTTACCATGAGTGGAATAGGTTTGGCAGATTAGATACTGCTCTTTCTGCCTGGGAGTGTGCATATGAGGTGTTTGATGCTATCAACGATGTGATTCCAAAATTTCAGACTCTGATGTCTCGGGCAGCGGCGTACCACGATATGTTCAACGACACAGCAGTAAAGATAGTGGCACCCAGGGCGCTAGCTATGATAGATTCTGTCAGTGACACATACGACAGAATCTTGAATGATGCACCCGATACGTCGTTGGGGATGGCTGACCGGAAGACCGTACTTGCGAGTAAGTTCAATACGCTTTGGACGTTTGAGACCAATATAAGCCAAATATTCCTTCGCCTAGAGGATTTCCAAGCCCTCGACAACTGGCAGAAGAAGCTTTCTGGTTTTGTTGAGCAGGATGAAAGCTTTCAGCACTTTATCGCAACTATCGAGCAGAAAAATGGCTCTGGCCTATCACTCCCCGAATTCGGATACTCCCAGACTAGGCTAAGAGGGTTGTGGAAAGAAACAATGGCTCATCATGCAATCAGACTCAGGTATGCTTCGGCTGATATCAAGAGTCGTGAAGACCTTATGGAAGGAAACGTTGATAGAGCTAGAAAGACTCTTCGCCGCTTTGTGAGCGATGCTGAACAGATGGAGCTGGTTTACACGCGAGATTTGTACCGCATATTGGCTTGTGCTCACATCGGAGACCGAGCCAAAGCCCGGTCTATACTGGACGGCATCAGTGATAACATGCTCTTTGGAGGAAGCCTGGAAGAATATCTCCAGGGGAGGGCGCTTAAAACCACCTTCCCCGCTATAGCTGAGAATGCTCTGGTGTTTACAATCCATGGAAACGACTTAGAGAGGGCATTCAGGGTAGCCAATCTGATCACAAAGATAGTTCCGGATTTCTTCAACTGGACCTTCGAGAATATCTACAATTACTCTTACCGACTCGGGAACTATGGCACAATTTTGCTCAATAATCATTGCCCCCAAAAAGCCTTTCGTCACTTACTCGAGGCACGTCAGCTCATTGAGCTCCGCCGTACACATACTACTGATGTTGATGCCAGGATTGGAAACTCAATGTCTAGGTGGACTTACGAAATATTTTTGGATCTAGCACGCGCCTGTCTTCGTTGCCAGGAGGCCGGTGTTCCGCTGGCCGTGTTGACTCAGTATAAGCATGGACATCCTGGGAGTATCTCCTGGCCAGAACATGCATTGCTTTTCCTAGAAGAAAGCAGAGCTCGTGTTGTACTTGACTCATTACAAGTTGGATCGGGTGACGAAGGAGAGTCTGACAAAAGAATGGCTTTACTTTCGGAAGCCATATATAAGCAACGAGCCCTCAGAGTGCTGCTCGCTCTAGACCGCCCCAGCTCCGAGCAAGAAGAAGAACTCTCTCAGCTTCAGAAAGAGATTGGTGAATTGGAAGGCAGCGGGAGTTCTTCAGCTACTACTGGGTTTATTGCTGCAGCGAGCTCTACAGTTGAGCCCCGGTTACTTTATCAAAATATTAACGATGATGCAGTAGTGATAGAGGCCACCTTTGGGGTTCAAGGCTTTGTGGCATTTGCGATTACCAGGAACGGAATTCAGAAAGTTCACCACGGAGCTGCGCGCTCTGTTGACATGCAGATGCCTGCCATGCGGTTCATGCAGATTCTCAGAGAAATGACCGGGTATCGAGGGGAGGAGGAAGACACCCGCAAGCGGGTTCTCAACGAGTTGTCCGCAGAGATATCCTCAGTATTGTTGACACCGTTTGCAGGCACGATCAGACTGAAGTCGCATGTCGTCTTTTCCGTGTCTGAGCCTTTCACGGCATTTCCTTTCTCTGCCCTTCTCTTCGATGGCAAACCATTGATTGTACATGCATCGGTATCACAAATCCCCAGTCTGACAGTTTTGTACTATGTCTCTCAGCGGCAGTCGGCGTCGCGATTATCGGAACCAACAGTAACGGTGTTTGCGAAGTCGCCTGTCGAATCCTCGTCCGCAGAAACAAGAACCGGAAATGAGGATGATCTGCACATGGCAGGTATCGAGGCAGTAAACATCGCCCGGATATTCTCCACCTGGCCAATTGAAGCGTCGCGTCTCTCACGAAAGAACTTTCGCGAATATATCAGGGGTATATCGTCCGTCCTACACATCGGAACTCACGGCAAGGTGGATTTCAAGAATCCTCTTATGTCGTCGATCTCGATCGGAGAGGACTTCCGGGTTCTGGATCTATCCGAGATCAAAAGCAAGGCAGATCTCATAGTCTTCGCGGCATGTTTGAGTGGATTCGGAAAAGCAACCATTGGCAGTGAGGTTTTGGCCTTCTCTCACGTCGTGCTTGGCACCGGATGTCAAGCCTTCATGGGTACACTGTGGGAAGTCAGCGACATTGCATCCATGCTGATGATGACAATCTTTTATCGGAACCTCAAAGAAAAGAAGCATTTTTCACTGGCGGATGCATTGAGGGATGCTCAGACTGAGCTTCTCCACTTTGACAGTTGGAAGGCGAGCCAATTTGTGGATAATTTACTGGAATCATGGACCTCGGAAACAACTAACGACGGAGGTCCTCGTCCTGACGAGTTCGTGCCGGATGCAGAGTGGCTGCTTCAGATGCCGAAGATGATATTGGATCAACTGGACTGGACGAGTCCGTTTTACTGGGCACCATTCATGCTGATGGGCAGTGGCGGACATCGCCTGTCTCATCTGGAGGTTTAGTGACAGCGTTGATTCTACTGTTGAAATTTATCGTATCTCTGCTATAGGTGTAGTGGGTGGATTTAATGATACCGATGATTTTGTAAGTTGAGTTCCCAAAGTATGGCATGCCAAAGAGTTATGAAAGCAGTTCCTGGCTCGTGGAGGAAAAATGAGAGTTGCCCCGAAGGACCGCTACGAGACAGGGGCACATATTTTCTACTATAGAAAAAGATACTATCACAATGAACATAATGAATTACCGAGGCAGCCATAGCAAGAAAGGGTAAGATGGAGCTCATTCAACTTGCAAAGCATGCATTGTCTGACCATCCGGTGCAAGTTTGTTCCAGACCGGTTCAGCGACTATGGTAATAAGCCAAGGTAGTCAACCAGATAACGCTTCGCTCTGAATATCTCAGAACCGCGCTCTCCAAACGCCGCCCAGATTATTCTCAATACTGAATCTCTTTCACCAATCTTCATAAGCTTCCCCAACCTTCGCAACCCGCTGAAATGTCCTCCCATCTTGTTCATCACGAGCTTCACTCTTCATCGCCCGCAGCAGCACCAGCAGCAGGCGCCTTATCCTCCTCCTCGTCCTTGCCAGCCTTGGCGCTCTTAGCAGCCTTCTTGCGTTTCTTGTTAGGAGTCGCCGGTCCGGCTTCTGTGTCAGCTCGCTTCTGCTGGCCTTTCTGGAAGCTGACTCCACTTCCGCTCTTGCGGTATTTCTCCAGGTGTCTTTCGATCGCCTTGGGAGTGGGCTTGTCATCTCCGGCTGTGGATTTGGATTGATTAGCTTCCGAAATCGTGGTATATTGGACATTTATGTAGTAGATCTGGAGGGTTTAGTGGTGAGTTTGACTTACGCCATGCCTGAGCGACTTTGTCCAGGTCGAGGGTGATGGTTTGGGTTTCGAAGATGAGCTTCCAGAGCTGGGAAGCAGAAGGAGAGTCACTGTTAGTATACACCAGAACTGGGAGGGAAGGAGAGATAGGAGGGAAAGACTGTACAATCTGTTCGTTCTCGTCGGTCCAACGCATCTTGGCGGTTGGCCGAACTGGCGATTGTCTCGGGTGGAGATGCTGTGGAGTTGTGATCTAGTCCGAAGAGTGTGTTCGATGATATGGGTTACGTAGAGTAGGAGCTTGTAGCTTGTTGAGGGATGACTGGGAGGAGGAGAGATGGGATCAGTGGGTGTCTCAAGGATAAGAGGAGAGAAATTAAGTAGACAAGAGTTTAGTGTGAATGTAGCTTACTAGTTCCACCATAGCAATGCATTCACTAAAGGTTGGAAGACAAAGTGCCGGGGACGTAACACAAATAGAGAGGACTCATGCTGCTTGCGCTGGCCTTCACACGCAGTACCTGTCTCCTTGTGAAGCTGCTGAATTGTCTCTGATGAAGATTTGCTTTGGGGTTGCATATCAAGATCCTTCGTCGAGTTGATGACCACAAAAATTATATTCCAGCACAAGCTTCATGGCATCCTTTCTCTAAACTAAGCTCACTATGGCTGTCTTCCTGGTAATTGTATATTTTTTCCATGACTAGGAGGAGATCATCATGGGACTGCCACAGATGAAGAGGGTTGCAGATCTATACAGTGAATGCACGTGACATGGTAGGAAGCCTGGGTGCCTGAGGTCGCCTGGCTATTAGCAATCCGGGCTGCCAGTCCCTTCCATCCATGCATTGTTGAAACACCTTTCTTTCTGCCTACTAACTTTAGTACTCACTATCTTTCTTCAATGTCATTTGATTTATGGCCGGAGTATCTCACTTCTTCCCTTCATTTACCTCTGGGCATCCTTGTGTCCCTATTTTCTAGCAGCTTTGGGCCTCTCTTTTGGTGATCGGTTCTTAAATGTGAATTTCCTGGGTGGCGGAAGTAGTAGCTTGCACCTGCAATAGGTTCCTCGCACATAAATACTTCATACCGTCTTAATATTCTCATCACATAACTTTCACTCGATCATCTGCTTTCTTCCCAGAGTTATCTTGGCTTAGCACTACAGCGCGGATACATTTCAGCTACCTGACTGTCAAGCACATTTGCCACCATGCACGAACTAGATCCGCTCATCTCTGAATACCGCCATGACAAGAGGCGTCCCCGGGCTGACGAAGCACTCCTCATGCTTCAGAAGGTAGCTTCCATAGTCAAGCCTATTATGCGCCGACGACAATGGAAGGTCGGGTTACTGACCGAGTTGAATCCGCAAGATCGACATCTTCTTGGTCTTAATTACAACCATGGCCAAAAGATCTGCTTACGACTTCGTCGTGCTGGGGACGACCGTCAGTTCCTACCCATGGATTCTATTGTAGATACTATGCTTCATGAGTAAGTGAAGCCCCCTCTCTCATTGAAACTCCCACTGCAAAATCCAGTCGCTAACTTATATTGCAGACTCTGTCATATTGTGCATGGACCACATAATCAGAAATTCCATGCCCTATGGAACCAGCTCCGGGACGAGCACCTGGAGCTCACTATGAAGGGTTATACAGGCGAAGGCTTCCTCTCCAAGGGTCATCGCTTAGGAGGTCGCTACATGCCCGTGGAAGAAGCTCGTCGACGGGCCCGAGCCGCCGGGTCGGGACAGCGACTCGGCGGCGCATCCATCGCACGTGGTACAGACATGCGCCAAGTCATTGCAGCTGCCGCACAGCGACGCAGCGAAGTGATGAAGGGCTGTGCCTCGGGCGCCGACAATAGCGCTGAGCTGGCAGAGGAGGCGTCCAGAAATGGCTTCCGAACCAAGGCAGAAGAGGACGATGCGAATGAGCGAGCGATCATGGAGGCGGTCATCGATCTCATTGAGCAGGAGGAGCGCGAGAAGTATGGACCTTCATATATCCCTCCAAGTCAGGAGAATCCTGCCGGTCCTCGTTCTACACTATCCCCGCCTCCGACTGCAGATGGCAGCAGGCCGGGCGCATCGTCGCATCAGCAGAACCCGGAGAATTTGATATCAGACGATGGGTCGTACAACCAGCCGTGGTCGTGTCCGACCTGCACGCTCGAGAACCCTGCTGAGTTTCTTTGCTGTGATGCCTGCGCCTCGGAGCGGCCGCGGCCTTCGACGAACCGATCCGTATCTGAACCTATCATAACCAGTCCGGCCAATGCAACAGACAAGAGTAAGAGCAAGAGCAAGAGCAAGAAGCGGCCAATCGGCCAGTCCCCGTCGTCCCCTTCGCAAGGTACTTCCAAGAGCAAGGGCCGTGTCAAAACACCCTCGTCCACGGAGCCAGAACAGGCGAATAAGCGGCGATTGGGGCGGACGTGTCGGGCTTGCGGCTCATTCATGGAAATTGAATGGGCGTTTTGCTCCAGCTGCGGAGCAGCAAAGCAGGAGTCCTAATCTTGGCAATCCCTTCGGAGTTTCATCACTTAGCATAGGCGTTGGTGTCACAAATTTTGCTTCGAGAGAGATACCATGACTAGCAATATTTTCCATCGAGACTTGGGGAAAGATAATTTCAACCTCTATAAATTTCCTACGAATGTCGAAAGAGAAGATCCAACTCATGACAAATGTTGCTCGTAACTGATCACCTCTTGACTGAGCAGAGTTACTGTCCTCCAATAGCATGCGTAGCTCTCAACCTAACAACAAGGACAACCACAACCCTAACTACTTCCCGGCTCTCGCGGTAACTGACAGATTTTGAGTTAGCACAAAATATTATTTCCATAAACCGAACCTTGAATTTGAACACATGCAGGTTCATAAGTACTAAGCTGTTGACTTGTTACCCAGATCAGTAACTTATAGTTAGTAAGTTTGTTAACTAACTAGTTAACTTAACGTAATCGGTAAGCAAGTGGGCACGGTAAGCGAGTGGGCACCCGCGCGCATTATCTTCGCGTTCTTAAAATTAAAATAATTTAACTACTAATAATTCTACCAAATATACCTTAATTATCAAATTCTTTAGTAGAACGAGAGGGCTGTATCTGCCTTGTTATTAAGACTATTTAAAATAGCAAAATTCTACTTATTAAAAAAGCTGTAAGTATTTTTAATATTCCGTATTTAACTCTGTAACAACGCTTTAAGAAAGTTAAAATACAGTCAGATATATATACTAACTTTATAAAATTAACTTTTCTTAAAGAAAAGGCTTTAAAAAATTAGATTTTCTTATTTATAAAATATAGGCTTTATTCTCGGCCGGTATATATATAAAATATAGTAATAATTCTTTTTTAAAAATAAAACTTGAATTTTACAGTTTCTGTAGATAAAAAATAAATATATAATTTTATTAAATATACTTCGGCTTTAAAGACTTAATTCTCTCGAAGATATTATATCTAATATATAAAATATAAAAATTTAAAGTTTTTAATTAAATAGTTTAACTGTATTAAAACTACAAAAAAGAAGTATAGCATTTTTAATTAAAATATCTGAAATTTTAATAAGACCGGTTTTATTATAGAAATAATAGCTATAGTCTGTATAATTATACGGTCTAACTATATAAACAAGCTATTTCTTATATAACCTAAAAATTTAAGAATAAATAATTTTAATTAAATATATTAATACTGCCGGTGTAGTATTATTACTGTATTTAATTTTTAAAAAAAAATTTATATAAAAATATAGTATTAAAATCTTTTTTTCTTTAATTAATATATTAATTTATTACTAAATAATGTCATAGATAACCCCTGTAGCTATAGCGGATTATTAACAATCTATCTATATATCCTCCGCATAACAGTTATAACGTCAATAACTCAGACCTTCTTTAGTATTTAACTCCTAGAATCTTACTAAATCTTTAAAATAGTAAGAATTAGTTTTAAAATTAATAGACTGCTACTATTCTATACCTAACTAATCTTTTTTCTTTATAATTTTAATTCTTTTTTTTTAAGTTATTTATAAAATATAGTATATTACCGTAATTTTTATATTCCGATAGTAGTTCCGAGTCGGAAATTTTCTTTACTGCTAATAGTTTATTATCTTTACTATCAGATTCTTTAGTAGAAAATCTTACTGTTATACAATACCTACTGCTACAGCAGCCCATATCTACCACTATGGCAGCCGCTTCGGGGTCGATACGGATTTGTCAGGATTTTAATCCGAATGTCTATATTATTATGTTGTTTATTTTTTCTTTTTGTATAATATATTGTTTCGAGATTCTTTAGAGAAGAAGATTTCTTAAGAATTAGTTTTAAAATTAATAGAAGACTATTTTTAACTATCTTACTTATCTTATCTAACCAGCGTGTCTACTGCGTTAAGTAGTTTCTAATAATTTCTAATTTTTCTTACTTTTAGTTATCTAAGAAAAAGTAATATATTATTTAACAAATCTTCGTTAGAATTATTTTAAGGCACTTTGTCTGTCTTTAAATTATATTATCTAATCCAGACAGATATTCAAGAAGTATAAGCTACTATTTACCAATTAAAACAGTTAAAGTAATTAAAAGAACAGGTTTAAGTATTATAAACAGAATATAAAGATATTAAATTCTTAATAGAATTATAATAATACTGTATTAGCTCGACCTTATTTTCTAAATAAGAAAAAAAAGAAATTAAACTTAAAAAAATCTTTATTTTTTTTTTTGGTTTAGTTTACAACAGAGAACAAAGTAGATTCGTAATCTATTATATACTTTTAAGAAAGCCCCTCGGAAGTATTAAATAAAGAATTAAAAAATCCTAACTATAATTAGCTATTTGGACTTTATCTATCGGCAGAAATAGTACTAATATATTAATAAAAAATCCCCGGAAGACCGCCGAAATACTAAAAAATTGTAGGATTACTTTATCTAATAGATTCTTTCTCTTATTCGAAATATAGCTATTTTATAATCTGATACTATAAAACAGCTTGAACGGGCCTACCAGCGAACTAATTAGAATCCGAGAAAGTTTTATTTTTATTTAGATATTTTAAAGTATTATTTTAAATTTAAACAAAATAACAAATGTATATTAATCTTTTTTTTAAAGCTGGTACTGGAATTCAGTTAATATATTTATAAATATATATTAAAACTACCGGACTTATAAGAAAAAATGGTATCTATTACTACCTATTATTAGAATATATTAAATCAAAAGAAAAAACAAGATCTAAAAAGCCGAAAATACTATTTAAATAAGACTTTTAGAGAATCCGGACTTTTACAGTCTAATAATAAGTTCTTTTTGTCTAAATCCCCTCGAAACAGAAGAAATTAAAGAGGGGAAATTCTTTACTATTATAAATATAACAGTAAATACTATTTAGCCAACCGATGCTTTTATAAAAATAAAAATAAAACCAAACTAGAATTGATGGAAAAAGAACAGTAGTTAAAAAAGCTTTTATATTTTTAATAAACTAGTCTGAAATAAGAACTGCTATTTGCTTTAATATATTTATTTATTTCAGAAATATACTCGAAATCTATACGGACTTAGATTTATATACTAAGATTAATTTTATTAGCTATTAATTTATTTAATAATTCTATCTAAATATAGTCTGTCTTACAGTCCTACTAGTTACTGTAATTAATTATCTTATTATAGATATCTATAGTATATAGAAAATTCCTATTATCGCTACTAATTCGAGGGGAACTATATAATTATTTATAAGATATTATATAACTATTAATTATAATCCAAATCTTTCCGAAAGTCTTATTCTACTTTTAATAACTATTTTAGAAAACCTATATATTTACTTATCTGTATAAAATCAACAGTAGTAGTATAAGGCCTAAATATTAGAAGTCTTATTTTTTTATAAATTTATAAAAGCTTGCCGAAATCTTGCTTATATTTATATTATTATTAAACTTTCAGAGAATATCTGGCTATTAGAAAATAAAGTCTTCTTAAATTATTTATAAATTAGACCTAATAAAATTATATTATCTTTTAAGCTCTAAGATTTTATAGATATATTTTCTTCTAGTTATTTTTAATAATTTTCTTCTTACGGACCCTCGGACTATACTATTAATCTAAAAGATAGCGAAATTCTACCGTATAAACCTATTTATTTTTTATTTTAAGTTAAGCTCTAATCCCTCTGTTATTATATTAATAAAAATATTTAATTAAAATAAATTTAATCTTCTAAAAGTTCTGCAGAAGTCTCTATTCTTTTTATACTAAAGAAAAATAAAGGCCTCTGATTATATATAGATTATAAAAAACTTAATAAGATTTTAGTTAAAAATTACTATTTTTTATTTTTAATTTCAGAAATTCTAGACAGGATTATAGAAGCCAAATATTTTTCTAAGCTAGATGTTTAGAATATATATTACCGAATTCACATTAAACAGAAAAATAAATAAAAGACAGTTTTTTAAATCTGCTACAAATATTTTAAATATCTAGTTATATTCTTTAGATTAACTAATACTCCGGTTATATTTTAAAACTATATCTATTTAACTTTCTATAATATATTGGACGTTTTCTGCGTTGCTTATTTAAATAATATTCTTATTTTTTTAAAAAACCGCTCTTCTTATACTTTTTATCTATATTAAGTATTAGAATACTTATAAAAAGCAGATCTTTATATCAAGCTATTAAAGTATACTTTCTACTAAGATTATATTAAATTTCTAGAATATATTATATTTTTATATAATATATTAATAAATCTCCGACGGGTATTTAATATTCTTGCATAGCCGATACCAACTATATACCATAAGATCTAAGTATTCTTAGGATTCTATAATTTTTATTAGTATTTTATTAAAAATTATTTTTTAATTATATTGCTACTAACCTCTCTTTTAAAAGGCACCCAGAATAAAAAAAAGCCTGGAAGAGTAGTATTAACTAGTAAAAAAACAACAGTATTTTAACAGCTTTTTTATAGTTTTAAGACTACATTTTTATTAAAACATTTTAACTTTTAATAAAAGATCCGAATAGAAATAAATACTTTTTAATAAAATATAACAGAAATACTGTTCCAGTCGGGTGATTATAAAGTATACTATTCTATTATATTCTGGTCGAAAAAATTTAATAGTATTAAAACTTATTATTCGACCCCAGACTAAAAGTTTTTTATTATTATTTATTTATTTAAGTATTAATATTAATATCTTAAAGAACTATTGCATACTGTTAAAATTCTTTTAGATTATTAAAATCTCTAGATTTTTATAAAATAGTTAAAGCTGAACAGCTGTTAGGCTCGATAATATATATATTTTAATAGTTATAATTTTATTATTTAATATCGGTCCGGTAAATATAATCCTACCGATCTACTGTTAAGAATAAAAAAAGACTTAAAAATTCTGTTTAATATAGAGATTTTAAAGTTGATACAGCATTAAATAGCTAGTAAATTTTTTGTAAGATTACAGCTAGTCTTAGAAAAGTTCCAGCTAAAATATAATAAAATATCTTTATAAAAGAGTTCTAAATCCTATACCTGCTAGTATATATTAAGTTTATTAGAA